GAGAGGAGGCCAGGATCCCAGACAATATGATGTACAGAAAACGAAACAGAAAGCAAAGAACCCCGACACCCTCGGCCCCCAGCCAAGTTTCGAAACCTAACTCCCTAAAAGCAGCAGGCACCACGGACGTGACTTCCCGGGAGCCGCGCGCGGCGCGGCGACGTGACGTCATCGGGAGGTGGGACATCCGGTCCCGGCAGCGCCTTCCGAGGACCCTCAAAGAACCAGTGGCCTTTTGGGCCGACAGGTGAGGTTCGGGGTCCCGCGCTCGGGGGGCCTTGCCGAGGACGCCCCGGTGCTCGCTGTCCTCGCTGAGCGCTAGCCGCCGGTGGACAGGCAGCCCGTGGTGGCGGAAATAACGGTGTGGAGACAGTTTGGGCTTTCAAGTATCGCTTGTTTCGGGGGCGGATCCCTGGGGCGTTCTCTCCCAGAAGCTGAAGAACCAGTGTCCCTACTGTGAAGCAGAGCCCGCTTGGGCGGGAGGATGCCCTTGGGAGCCAGGGGCAGGACCTGGGACGGCCGAAGTGGCCAGGAGCGTAGCCAGCTTCTGGGGCTTACACAGTTGTACCCACACTTCCCCGTTTAAATGCCTGGGGACTGTGCTTCCTGCTTCGGGACGGGGGTGCACCAGGCATGGTCTGCTGCTGGAGTCGTCTCGAAATTCATATCTTCCCATGACACCTCGCAGTGTCTGCAGCTCCCCTCGCCGAGAGCTCACAGTTCACCATCTAAACACGTAGCCGCTTAGCCATTTCAGTTCTAAAAGCAGGTAATTCCTGTGGAGGAAGACGGGTATAACAAAAGGAAGCCCATGGAAACTTAGAAAAAAGTCTCCAGCAAATGTACTCACCAAAGTTTTAATTCAGTTGGGTGTTTTTCTCCTGTTTCTACATAAAGATGGAAGATGTGCAGGCTTGCCGTGGTCCTTTCCAGTCGTTAGGTTTTGAGGGCTTATCCTGACAACACATGGATGCTCCTTTAAATTTTTTAATTTTAATATTTGGTGTTCTGCTAGCCTAAGACTGTAAGTTATTGATCTCCTTTCAGCATATTGAATTCCCAAGTGTACTTTAAATATGCTTCATCTAAAAGGAAATAGGCATATAATGTTTAATGAATATATTTAACATGGAAGTAGCTATACACCTAAAAAAAAATTCTCGGGTTTCATTGATGCTTCGAGGCCAAAAACTACTTTCTAGTGCATTAGAAAGAGATTGCATGTGTGATTACGATCAAGTTTGATGCAATAGTTGTTAGCTTAGGGACTGCAATGGACTATGGAAAAAAGAAACAGGCCTTTGTCAAGGAAATTGGGCAAGTCTATCCTGTGTGGTAGTGAGTACTCTCACCTTCATGTTTCCCCAGGGATATCGATGGATTCTGTATTATTCATATAAGCTCGGCTTTCTGACCGAATTGCACAGGTTGCAAAAGAGGGATTAGTGTACTCATTCACGAGCCACGTATTTCACATAGCAAATTAGAACATAAAAGTTATTCAGAAATTGTAAAGTTGCAACAACAAAGATGACAGCACAGAGCCTTACTGCGATGTACATTGCACTCATGTCTGTTTGCACTTGGTCCTACAGTATTCCACAGTTGATTAGCATTATGTGAATATTCAAAGTAATGTGTATTTGGAAAAATAAGTAATAGGAGACAGAAGATTATAGAGTTAATGTTGCCATTTAAAATCCTGTGACCTTCAACAAAGAATAAAAGTCTTTTTCGGATGTTAACAACTGTGCTACCCACTTTGCTCATCTTGTAATAGTCAGGGGATCAGAGCACGTTTTTAAAATAAAAAGTACTACGAAAAAGAACATAGTTCTGTTGCAGGTGCCAAACTGCTATCCGGGACCAGATATAGAAAAACACTCATTCCTTTGTCATTTTATTCTGCACAAAGATAAAATGGCTACATATTAAACAGTTGCAGCTCACTCTCAAGAGTCCATCTGTGCATCTGCATTCCATGTGAACTTTTCAGCGTATTGTTGCATGTTTACATGGAACTATGATAAGGTTTCTGATTTTTTGTGTTAGTACCATGTATACCCATTGCAATTAAATATGCAATTATGTAAGTAACTATAATTTTTCTCAATTTTTAGAAACCTTATTTTGAAGTAATTATAGATTTCTAGAAAGTGACAAAAGCTGTTCAGAAAGATCCCTGTTCACCTTCAGACAGGCGCCTCCAGTGACACCTGGAAGTTGGCGTTGTTGCAGTCCGGTTTATTCATTGAGATTTCCCCAGTTTTAGGGACACACATTGGTGTGTATCCACATGACTTTGCAATTTTCTCAGGTGTAACCTGTAGTAACCACCTTTATAATCCAGATGGAGAACTGCCCATCATTGCAAAGCTGCTTTAGGTGCTGCTGTTGTAATTCCAGCTGTTGTGTCCCACCCAAGGAGGACAGGCACCTCGGCAGCCTCCAGTCTCCATTCCTGTAATAGGAATTGTGTAAATGGCATCATATCGTATGTAAATCTCTCAACTTGCCTTTTCTGCGCTGAGTGGATCTCTGGAAACCCACACAAGCCGCATGTATCAATCACCTGTTCCCTTTTTATGGCTGAGTAGCGTTGTATGAGGTGGGTGCTGTAAACGATATTGTGTTATATCCAGCTTTGAGCTATTTATACAGGCACTGTGAACTCGTGTAAAAGTTTTTGAGTGATCCTGAGTCTTTTTTTGTTTTGCTTTGTTTTCCAGAATAAATGCCTGAGAGTACAGCTGTAGAGATGGGGTGCTTGTTTACTTTTCTGATATTGACTTCTTTAATTGTTGATGTGGAGAGGTACATTGATTGGTTTTCAAATTCTGAACATAACCTGGAGTAAACCTCACTGACTGTGGGATTGTTAGGGGTCTTTGGGTTGAGTATCCTTTATATGTAATACTTGGATCATAAGTGCTTTGGCTTCTTGAGTATATTTGCATGTCATGGATGGGGCTAAAGACTAAACTGAAAAATTCACTTCTGCTTCATTTATCATTTACACACATCCTGATTCAACCTTTATAGCACACCGGCATTTTGATCACAGCTTGTCAAATGAAGGAAGCCAGGAATTTCACACTTAAGCTATCATGTCAGTGCTCAAAAAGTTGCAGATTTCTGGTACATTTGGATTTAAATTTTTTTAATTAGGTACGCCTAACCTATAGTACTGTTTGGAATGTCAGTATTAGTACTGTTATTTCCATTTTCACATTTCTTAGCTGCATCATACAAATTTTGATATTTTGTATTTTCGTTTTCACTCAGTATGTATGTGTTGTTTTAAATTTCCCCCTGAAACTTCTGTCTCATAGAATATTTAGGCATGTGTTCTGTGTATAGACTTAATTTTTATTTAACTCTTAGTGATTCCTAATTTTATTCCACAGTGTATAAAAAACATAAGCTGTATCATTTTAATTCTTTTAAATATGTTTGTCTTGTAACTAGTGTGTTGTATCTTTGGAAATGCTCGTGCAGTGTTCTGTGCGGGTTGACAGCCTCTTAGTTGTTGCTGGTGTTCTGTCCTGCACTTTTCAGTGGTGTAGTGTTTTGTTCTCATTTTGTCACCGAGAGGTGAGGCTATAATCGCAGTTGAGCTCTGTTGGCTTTGGTTACCTGTATCTTGAATCTCCGTTGATTGGTGCATACACGTTTAGCATGCATTTTAGTGAATTAATCTTTGTTTTGTTTTGTTGCTTTGGTTGGTTGCTCTCCAAAGTCTTAACCGGTAGTTAACTCTTAGCCCTCCCTTCATGACACATCTTTTTCTTATTTTTATGTTCAAACTATCAATGTCAGTATGTTGAAGTATATTTTTCATAGACAATTTACTTTTTAAAAAAATTTGGGCCCAGTTGAGGACGGCCCAAGGTTTTGGGACCCTGCACCCGCGTGGGAGACCCAGAAGAGGCTCCTGGCCTCGGATCGGCATAGCATCGGCCCATTGCGCTCACTTGGGGAGTGAATCATGGGACGGAAGGTCTTCCTCTCTGTCTCTCCTCTCTGTATATCCGCCTTTCCAATAAAAACATAATAAAAATAAATCTTTAAAAAAAAAATTGGGGCCTGGCGAGGTATCCTAGCAGCTTAAGTCCTCGCACAGACTGGGATCCCAAATGGGTGCCGGTTCTAATCCTAGCAGCCATGCTTCCCATCCAGCTCCCTGCTTGTGGCCTGGGAAAGCAGTCAAGGATGGCCCAAAGCCTGGGGACCCTGTACCCATGTGGGAAACTTGGAAGAAGCTCTGGGCTCCTGGCTACGGATTGGCTCAGCTCAGCTCCAGCCATTGTGGCCACTTGGGGAGTGAATCAATGGATGGAAGATCTTCCTCTCTGTATATCTGACTTTCCAATAAAAAATTTAAAATAAATCTTCAAAAAAATCCTATCTATTATTTGATGATATGGTTCCATAGGCTCTGGGATTTCCCTTCTCTCCTCTCCAGATACCCTACCCCCTCCATTGATTTCCCTTTTATCATTATAGTAGAATAGTCCTTCATAAGCAATCATACACTCATCATTTGGTTATTTAAGTATATCCCGACATTGTAAGATGCATGGAGTCCAGTATCCTATTATCAAGATATAATTCCATCTTTCCTGCCTATCTTTGTCTTTTAACTGGTTTGTTTAGAGCATTTATAATTTAAGTAATTGTTGATGGTAGGATTAAAGTCAGCCATTTTGGTTTTTGTTTTAATTTCTTCTATTTATCCATTCTTGCCTTTCTGTTGTTCATTTATTATTTTTATATTTGAGTTGCCAAACTGTTTCTGAATTTATTACTTAGTACGCCTTGTTTTAGTGATTGCTCTCAATGTAACTATACATTAAGTTACTTCACAGCCTACTGGTACTAACTTTAATCACTTTAATATGTAGAAATCTTACTTTCATTTAGGAACTTTTAACTTTTCTGCTCTTTAAATATCATCCTGTTTCCTTTAGGTATAATAGTCCCTTGTTACCCGTGGGGGATATGTTCCAGTATCCCCCGCTGGATGCCTGAAACCACCAGTAGTACCAACCACTGTATATTCTCTTGTTTCCAACTTGTACATACAGATAAATGATTGAGTAAAAAAGGGTTACTTGAGAACAAGCACTTTGAAACCATGACACTCAACCTGCTGACCTAGGTGACTAACATATGGGGGACATCTGTGGTATGGATATACAATAGGAAATGGTGATTTTTCCTTATTAATTGGTATTAGCACAGGTAGTTCCTTACCTGAAGGAAAATAAAATTATATCCTTATGTAAGAGGATTCAAAGTTTTAGTGTAAAAATTGAGCATCTAGAAACATAGAAATCCAGAGAAGGGTTGCTATCTGTGTGCAAAATTTTCTTGCAGATCAAAAAATTAAATAACTAACTGGGAACCTGAGCAAACAATATGGATAGACAGTTCACAGAAAAGAGAGATCCAAAGTTTAACAGAATGAAAAGATGCCCACACACTACTAGTAGTAAAAGACATGCAAATTTAAAGAGTGAGGTATTTTATACCCAAAGACAGCAAAGGTTGTAAATGCCGTTATCATTTCATAATAGTAGGATTGTAAAGGGAAAGAGAACTTCCTAACTCTCTAAAAGAAATGTGATTCTTAACATCTTTTTTCAGAAAAGAATCTGGCAGCACTTAGCTAAAATTCAAACCAGTAATTCCATACTTGGGAATCTGGCCTATGAAAACAGCACGTAAGGGTATACCACTCTGTAAGGCCATGGACTTTAAGGCTACTTGCTGAAGCCTCCTCCTAACCTGGGAACCAACTGAGTGCCTGTCAGCAGGAGATGGTCGTGTAAGTTACAATGTATATGCACTCTGGAACCATTACTGTTGAATTGGACTACTTGCTTTGATGGATTCCCATCTGTTAAGTATGAAAACAAAGTGCGTGGAAGTGTATATATGGCAAGCTGCTATTTATCCAACAATAACAATTGTTTATGCAAAAACATATAAATGTTTATATACATGATTATGGAAAATTACAAATATTTTTAGCATTGCTGGACTGTTTTTTGTTTGTGTTTTGTTATCTTTCAGTTTCTTATTAAAATGGAGTCTTTCTTTTAAAAATGATTTATTTTTGATGTAGCAACCTTTCTATTTTAACTATACCTGTTTATGAACAACATTATGATAATTCAATACATGTAGATCCTTATGTAGTGATCACATCAAGATAATTAGTGTTTTTTTAATTACATTGCATTATGTGACACAGTTTTAAGCACTGGGATTCCCCCTACCCCTCCCCAGCCCTCCCCCCATGGTGGATTCCTCCATCTTGCTGCATTGCCACAGTTCAAGTTCAGTTGGGGTTCTTTCATTGCAAGCATATACCAAGCATAGAGTCTAGCATCTTTTTGTCCAGATGAGTTCAACGGCTTCTTATGGAGACCATCTCTAGTCTGAAGGTAGAGCCGGCAGAGTGTCATCCCAACCAATCAAAAGCCCCAATATAACATCAGCAACAATCCACAATGTCATGGAATTAGTGGACATAGTATTGAATAACCAATATGTTAAAAAAAATTGCATTTTACAGGTACTGCTTTTCATACTGACATCATTTCATCTTAAATTAAGGCAAACATGTGGTATCTAATCTTTTGGGATTGGCTCATTTCCCTTAGCATTATGGTTTCCATTTGGGCCCATTTAGCCACAAAAAACTGCATGTTATTTTTTTAACAGCTGAGTAGTATTCCATGGAGTAGATGAACCATAGCTTTCTTATCCAATCTTCTGCTGATGGATATTTCGTTTGCTTTCATGTTTTTGCAATTACTGATTGTGCTGCTGTGAACATAGGGGTGCATGTTGGTTTCTCATGAAACCGGTGTTTGGGATATATTCCTAGGAGTGCTATTGCTGGGTCATATGGTATGCAGATTTTGAGTTGTTTGAGTGTTCTCCATACTGATTTCCATAGAGGCTGTACCAGCCTGCAGCCCCACCAGCACTCTCTTAGTTCTTGACAACATAATTGTAAACTGTGGTTGCCTACTCTACAGAATATAACTAATAAGATTAGAGTCATGTTGGATGGAGAGCTAGAGAGAGGCATGATGCTAAAGATTTTTTTTTAATTATTTTTTTTTTATTGGAAAGGCGGATATACAGAGAGGAGAGACAGAAAGGAAGATCTTCCCTCCGATGATTCACTCCCCAAGTGAGCACAACGGCCGATGCTATGCCAGTCCGAAGCCAGGAGCCTCCTCCTGGTCTCCCACGCGGGTGCAGGGTCCCAAGGCCCTGGGCCATCTTCCACTGCTTTCCCAGGCCACAAGCAGGGAGCTGGAAGGGAAGCGGGGCTGCTGGGATAGAACCGGCGCCCATATGGGATCCCGGGCATGCAAGGCGAGGACCTTAACCACTGCGCCACCACGCCGGGCCCCGATGCTAAAGATTTTTAAAAGACCATTCAAAGATAGTTTCTTTACCAACTGTGATAATTGTATGATTTTACTCCTTTTGTTATTGTGATAAACTAATGACATTTTGAATACATAAGTAACATTTTATTTCTGACATTTATATAATTTGGTTTTCGTCTGTCATTCCTTTTATGTAGGTATTTCAAAAAGTTTGTGGAGAATGCATTTAAAATGTATCTAAGGAATATTAAAAAAAAGCTTATGAAAATGTATTTGATGAAAAATATATGATGTCAAAATAAATTCCTCTTATTTCCACATTTTTGCATGATCTTTTTGAAATACTCTCACATAACCATTAAATTTGGTCTGCTTATAGTTTGTTTGTTTGTTTAGGGTTTATTTATTCATCTGAAAGGCTAACGTTACAGAGAGAAAGGGAGAGACAAATTACCACAGTGGGTAAGCATAGGCCTGGGCCTGGACACCAGGAGCTTTATCCAGATCTGCCGTGTGGATACAATGCCCCCAGTACCAAGTGGACCGGGAGCCCTGTGAATTTAGTGACATTAAAAATATCCATAAGGATACAGTTCTATTAAGATTCTGTTAGTCATTTTGTACTGCCATTTTTAATGTGTTTGGTGAGAGGGAGTTTTTCTTTGTCAAAATAATTGTCACCAAGTTCTTTGTAATGTTTATTGGATCTACTAATTCCTCACCTTTGCACCAGCATTCCATATGAGCACCAGTTAGTGTGTGGCTGCTCCGCTTCTGATCCAGCTCCCTGCTAGTGGCTTGGGGAGGCAGCAGGCAATGGCCAAACACTTGGAGCCTGAGGATGAAGGATCTGCCTCTGGGGACCAGTGTCTCTCTCTCTCCTTCTGTCATTTTTTCAAGTAAAATGAAGAAGTCTTTAAAAAATAGATTCTTTTATTCTGATACATGTAGAATCTGAAATGATGTACTTTTTTCACTGCTGACACTATTTGCTTTTTCCTTTTTCAAACAGTGAACTTTTGGCTTTGTTCATCCTTTTTCAGATAAATTTTTTCTTTATCCCATTAACTTCTGCTCTGTATTATTACCCTTTTTTCACATTTCTACAAGATGGTTTTATTCTTGATCTTCAGTTCTTTTTTCTTACAAATGCCTTGCACTAATTTCAGTTTTCCTGCAGGCATACCTTTATCTATATTCTGTATGTTTTAATGTCATAGTTTTTGTTCTGTGTTGCTTCAATGCTTATTGCTCATGTCAGTTTTCTTTTTCCTTTTTTATAAACTAGTTACACATTTCTGTGTAATTCTTTCAGTGGCTACTAATTTTTGAAGACTTGAAAATTTCTGTTTTTTCCAATTGTTTTTAATGCCTTATTTGGAAACAAGCTAGTGTGTCATTGTTCCATTAAAACAAAATTTTCATCATAAACAGGAGCAACAGGTGTAACATCCATAGTATATTTAATATTGACAGTTTATTTGTTTTAATTACTTTGTTTATATAAAGTGAACAGATTTCACAATACAGACCCAAGAGCAAGCATGACGCTTTACTCACCCTTCTCCCTCCTGACTTCCTTAAAAGAAATTTTTTTTTACTTTTTGCAATGACTTGGTTTCACTTGGCTTCACAATCACAGGCTTAACACTCCAATATGTAAGGAATTCAACAAATAACAAGTAGGAAAAAATAAAAAGAAACCACCATTCCTCAAGAATAAAGTCAAAGGCTGTAAACAGTAATCAGGACACAGACTGTCAGTTTTGCTCACACACATTGCGTGTTTTTGTTTGTACTCCGTACTTTAGGAACCACAGATTAGGAAGACATGTATTTGTCTTTTTGGAGCCGGCTTATTTTGCTAAGCCTAATGGTTTCCAGTTGCATCCATTTCGTTGCAGAAGGCTGGATTTCATTCTTCTGTGTGGCTGAATAGCATTCTATAACATGATACACCTTCTAAAAACTTTTTATCAAAGCTGGTGTTGCAGTGTGTCTGCAATGCTTATATCCCATAGGGGACTGGTTCAGGTTCTCACAGCCTCACTTCCAATCCAGCTCCATGATCATGGCCTTGGAAAAGCAGTGGAGGATGGCCCAAGTGTTTGAGCCCTTACGCACTCGTGAGACAGCCAAATGAAGCTCATGGCTTTGACCTGGCTTAACCCTGGCTGTTTTAGCCATGTGTGGAGTAAGCTAGCAAACAAAAGATCTGTGTTTCACCCTCTCTGTTAATTCTTTTGAGTAAATACATAAATAAAATTTAAAGTATTTATTATATGTAGTTCTTCCAAGAAAAAAAATTAATATTTTTGTAGTAATATAACATTATTAATCCTTGGCTAGACAAAGATATGAAATAACGTTTTATGAAACTATTTGCAATGATCAGTACACACAGATATTTCCTGTTTATGTTTTTTAAATTTTAGTTTTCACATGTAAGGAAAAACAAGCAGTGTGGATCTGACATGTTTCAGCCAATATATCCTCTAGTTGAGTCCATTTTGCTGCAAATGATAGAATTTCATTCTTTATATAGCAGAATAACATTTCATTGTATGTAGGCTACCCCATTTTTTTTTATCCATTCACTTCATGGTGAGCACCATGGTTGATTCCAAATTTTGGCTGTTGTGAACATTTCTGCTTTAAACTTACAGATACCTCTTTGATTCCCTGTGTTCCAGTTTGTTGGGTGTATGCCAAGTAGTGGAATTTCCACGTTGGTTTCCACAGTGGCTGCACTAATTCACATCCCTACCAAAAGCGGGTTAATTCTTCCCCTTTCTCCTCCTCAGCAGCGTTGGCTCCTCACTGTGATTTGGCTTGTAGGCATTCCAGAGGGGTGAGAAGGTATTTGATTTGTATTTTCCTGATGGCTAATAATGTAGAACATTTTTTTTCATATATTTGAAATTCTTATTATGAAAACTGTCTATTGAAGTCCTTTGCCCATTTCTTGGGGTTTATTGTTTTTTGGTGTTAAGTTTTTGTTTTTTTTTAATTGTTGGCATATCCAGCATGTTAATCCTATGTCAGATAGATGGTTTTCAAATATTTTTCTCATTCTGTTGGATTTCTCTTCATTCTGTTGTGCAAAAGCACTTGAGTTTAACATAATCCCCTTTGTTTCATTTTGCTTTGGTTGCCTCTGCTTGGAGGAGGGGGTCTTGTCCAGGAAATCATCCCCTACCAATGACTTGCAGTGTTTCCCTGTATTTTCTTCAAACAACTTCATACTCCAAGGTCTTACATTTAGGTTTTTTGAGTCATCTTGAGTTGATGTTTGTTTTTGATGGGGATTATTGATCTAATTTCATTGAAAAAGTACAATTCTTACTGAGTTGCAAATAAAATGCAGACATTATTTGGATGCTAATAAGATGTATTTACATCCATTTTTAAATATGTTTGTTTATTAGAACAGACTGTTTTCTCTTTGGTCAACCAGTGAATTTATGATATAGAAATAATTCATAAGAAAGATAATTTGAAAATCAAAAATTATACCAATAAGAGGATGCATTCTTTCTTAAATCTTGTCTAAGATTATATAAGAATTAATTGGGAAAAAAAATCTGTTACAAAGTGAAACTAGAAACATTATTGTAAGCAAATGAGTGCGTACTTCCTGATTGGTAAATGGGTGTGTCCGAGTGCACACAGATTGTATCCACACTTGTTTGTTATCCTGCATAGCTCCGACTGCTTATCAAAATGGATTTCATGAAAGATTGTTAATAGGCTGAGGCTGAAGGTGGAGCTATCACCTTTGCCAGTATATAATTACAGCATGCTGTCCCTTGTTAATCTGATGCTTGCTTGCAAAACTGAGTTACCTTGGATTCTTAGGTAAGCAAGTTTGAATCTTACACTTGGTGGTCTCCTTTGCTGCTTGTACCTGGCTGTGTGGGATTCGGAAGTGTGAGAAGGAAGGAAATGCAGGATGCCTCGCATATATCGATGTTATCTCAAGGTTCCTCAGGTATATCTTGAGTGTTTCAGAATTCTGGCTGCTCTTCCGTTTCCCCACTTTTATCATCTTTGCTTGAGCTTCAGATTTACTCGAATTGTTAATTTTGTTATTGCTAATCAATCTCCCAAGATGGCATTTACTTGAAGTTAAGTATTTATGAGTTGACTGTGTGTAATAACTTTACAGTTAAGAATGTTAAATTTTCTTTTGGTGAGAGTAGTGAATGAGGCCAGTGTCTTCAAAGTCAGCACTCTAAGTTATTGTCATGTATGACCGCTCCATCTCATACGGTTTCTAATACATTGTAAATCTCAGAAAACCTTTATAAATATACCATATTTCATGATAAGTTTGGAGAGTGGAGGTGTATGTATGAAAAATGTACAAGGATGCACTGATTAATGAGTCATATACGAATTTTTAATTAAGAAGAGTCCATAGTTTTTCAGTGGCAGTTTTTCATTTTTCTGAATATTATTTTAAGACATCAATTTTGAAAGGCTGGTACCATGGCGTAGTAGACTAAGCCCCCATTTGCAGCTGCAGCATCCCATAGGAGCACTGGTTCAAGTCCTGGTGACTTGACTTCCGACCCCAGCTCCCTGCTAACGGTCTGGGAAAATAGCAGAGGATGGCCCAAGCACTTGAGTCACTATACCTATGTGGGACATTGGAAGAAGCTCCTGGCTTCAAACTGATACATTTTGGAATGAACCCACAGATAAAATATTTCTCTATCTCTCTCCTCTCTCTGTTGTAGTTCTGCCTTTCGAATAAAAATAAATCTCTTAGTTTTTTTTTTTTTTTATTGGAAAGGCAGATATACAGAGAGGAGAGACAGAAAGGAAGATCTTCCATCCAATGATTCACTCCCCAAGTGAGTGCAACAACTGATGCTATGCCGATCCGAAGACAGGAGCCTCTTCCGGGTATCCCACGCAGGTGCAGGGTCCCAAAGCTTTGGGCTGTCCTCGACTGCCTTCCCAGGCCACAGGCAGGGAACTGGAAGGGAAGCAGGGCTGCCGGGATTAGAACCGGCGCCCATATGGGATCCCGGGCATGCAAGGCCAGGACCTTAACCACTGCGCCACCACGCCGGGCCCTAAATCTCTTAGTTTTCAACATTTGTTTTTCTTAAGGTTTATTCTACTTTTTTTTTATTGGAAGGTCAGATTTAGAGAGAGCAGGAGAGATGGAAAGATCTTTCATCTGCTGGTTCACTCCCCAAGTGACCCTAGCAGCTAGAGCTTAGCTGATCAGAAGCCAGGAGCTTGTTCTGGGTTTCCCATGCAGGTGCGGGGTTCCAAGACTTTGGGTCATCTTCTATTGCACTCCCAGGCCACAAGCAGGGAGCTGGATGGGAAACAGGGTGGCCAGGACACAAATTGGTGTCCATATGGGATCCGACATGTGTAAGGCAAGGACTTTAACTACTAGGCTACCACGCAGGGCCCAGCAGGAGGGTTTTGATGGAAGGTAGCTGTTAGTTCTTACACGCAATTAAATTCTTACATGCAGGTAATAATATTGTTCCCTTTTTTAGTCATCTTCATAATTTTTCGTTTTTGCATAAGGCTTTGTTATAATTGACGAAACCATTCTTCCTGTAATAACCAGTTGAATTCTTCAGCTTTTCAATACCATAAATAACGTTCCATGCATCAGTTTCGATTTTTTTTGTTTGTTTTAGAATTTATTCATCAGAATGACTGAATCAGAATTTATACCTTCTGTAGATGTTGTTCAGGCCGCCCAGTGGCTTTCCATAGCTACTGTCATTCACATCAGTCAGTACGTGGGATTTCCCATTTCACAACACCCAGCCAGCATTGCTTTTATCTTCAGATGTTGAGCGTGGACAAGGACAGGTGGTGCTCACAGCAAGTTGCTTGCCCTCAGTGCCATGAGAAAGCACAGCCTAACATGAGTAACAAGTTTTACCAGGTAGAATTTAGCTGGCTGCCTTTGCCCCTGCCAGCCTAGGATATGGACAGGCATTGTGAGTGTAGAGGAATATTTCCTGCAGTGCTCAGAGAAGGCCTCGTGGAAAAGTAGAATTAGAGTTCAGTTAAAGTGAGAAAGATTTATACAGAAATTTGCATAGGCAAATGAGTGTGTTAGTGTATCAAATTAGAAGACAAGAGCCACACAATTACTTAAATGGTTGGCTTCATGTAAGAATTATTTTGTGGAAGGTTTATTTATTTATTTGAAAGGCTATTACAGAGAGAGAGAACTTCCATTTGCTAGATTGCTACCCAAATGGCTGCAACAGCCAGAGCTGGGTCAGGCCAAATCCAGGAACTAGGAGCTTCATCTGGGTCTCCCATGTAGATGACAGAGCCCTTTCCTAGGCGCATTAGCAAGACACTGCATTGGAAGTGGAGTTGCCAGGACTCAAATTGGCATCCATATGGGATATGTGCATCAAAGACTGCAACTTAATCCACTGAGCCACAGCAGCAGACCCCAACGTAAGAATTATTTGGATGTGATAGAAAAACCATAAAGTGATTGTATAAACTCTTAACAGGTATCCCAGGGCTGAAATTTAGTGCCCAAATAAGGACAAAATTTGAATGAGAGTTCAGACCACATTATCACTGAGGTGGAGCCCATGAGTGAAAAGTGGAGAAGTGTGCTGGATTGCTTTGGGTAAGGCCTCATGTGGGTTGGGAGACTGTGGTTCTAGCCCAAGATTGGCTTGAGGCTGGAATGAGCTGGAGGAGCTCTCTCCTCCCACAGCAGCTCTCCAGGACACTCTTCTGATAGGGTAAAGCATCATGTCCGCTCACAAAGGACAAACAGAGAGGCAGTGACTGATGAATTTGAAGCTGTGAGGCAATGAATTAATAATTGCCATAGCAGGAGATAGTATTCTGGAGTGGTGGAGGAATAAAATAAAAGCAAGGTTACAGGGGAAAAAGCCAGACACGGGGCAGGGTCTGTATAAAGTAGCAAGAGGAGAAAAACTAGCAGGAGAGCCTTAGCATCTTGCTTTGAGTGCGTGAAGAACAGTAGAAGACAAGCCCATTGGAGGTTGGAGCACTGTGCTCAGCGGACAGGAGAGGCCAAAGCAGGGAGCTGGGAGTGAGGTAAATAACTTGGGCCTGCATTTTTTGTGCAAATGTTGATTATACAGGAAATTGTTCATGGCGTTATCTCATATCCTGTTTTTTTTCCACCCACCCATTTCAAAATTTAATAATGTAGTACTTTAGTAATACATACAATATGCTTATAGTATTTGGGACAGGAAAGGATTATTAGGGGAAGAAAATAAGAGACCGTGGAGTTCACTGTCCCTCCCACTCATCCACTGGGGAGAATGCAGGGCCAAGGCCTACTTCTGCCCTCTGTACCTGCCCTACCAGGTGCAGGCAGCGAGGCCCTCTCCATGGTGGAAATTATCCATGGTTATTGTTGATTGTAACTGGAGAAGAGAGCTACAGAAAAGGTGAATCTAATTTTGATGCAAACCCCTCTGTAGACCTTGACTTCATAAAAGATGTGTCTCCCTGTTCCTAACGGCTCTTGTGGTTTGTTTTAATTTATCTTGCAATTCAGCAGTACAGAGTAACTGAATACTCTATCTTCCATACATCCTTGTGCTATTTCCTTCTAGGTATGCTGAAATTCACATTTCTTATTCCTGAATATTGTCTTTGGCTCAAGGTTTTACATTTTATTGACTCTCCATATTGCTTTTCTCTCCATATTTAGAAATGGACTCAGAAATCGAGGAAGAAATTCCTGTGCATGAGGAATTCATTTCATGTGGTGGAGGCGAGACACAAGTCCTGAAGTGTGGGCCCTGGACAGACTTAAATGATCCAAGTATCGACAAGCCTAAGCTGCTTATTTTCATTATTCCTGGTAGGTTAGAAATCTGAATGCAGACGCTTTATACAGATGCTCATAATTATTTCTGTTGTTAGAGATACTACTGTGTAGTGTGGGTATTGTGCTGTACAGTAAAGGTGCTCCCTGGAATGCCTGTACCTGTATCAGAGTGCCAGTTGAAGTCCCTACTCCTCTGCTTGTGATCCAGGTTCCTGCGAGGCAGCAGCAGTTGTGTGGGCTCCTGCCTCCCAATTGGGAGAACGAGGCATTGCGGGCTTTGTGGTGTAGAGTTAAGGAACATGTGAGGAGAAACTGACCTTCTAATCTACAACATCATGTCATGTGTTTTTACTGTTTGCGTTAATCTGAGGTCTGTGTTTCTTTTCTTAGGTAACCCGGGTATTTCATCCTTTTATGTGCCATTTGCAAAAGATTTGTACGCTTTAACAAACAAACGCTTCCCAGTTTGGATCATTAGTCACGCTGGACATGTCTTGGCCCCCAAAGACAAGGAGATTATGACATCAGAGGGTATGTCCATGTTATGATTTGCCTTTGTTTACAGTGAGTGACTATTTATGTTTTAAGAAAGCCTGCTAAGTTAAGATTTAACACCAGTGAAAACTTCAGCTTGTGACATTCAGTCCACAGTACCATATTTTGGCAATTTGGAAGTATTCTTTTAAGATTTATTTATTTTTATTGGAAAGGCATATTTAAAGAGAGAAGGATATACAGAGAAGATCTGTCCACTGGTTCATTCCTCAAGTGACCACAACAGCCAAAGCTGAGCTATTCTGAAGCCAGAGGTCAGGAGCTTCTTCAGGGTCTCCCCCATGGATGCAGGGTCCCAAGGCTTTGAGCCATACTCTACTGCTTTCCCAAGCTACAAGCAAGGAGCTGGAAGGAAGAGGAGCGATTAGGAGATAAACTGGCACCCATATGGAATCCCAGTGCATGCAAGGCAAGAATTTATCCTTTGCACTAGGCCCAGAAATTTTAAAGTTTTAGAGACATTTTTACTCTTCTGTGGGCAATTTTCTGTGGGAATTTGGATGGATCAATATTTTGATTTACCTATTCTATCAGTTAGTAATCCACTATGTACTGATTGTTGAATTACTATATTTATGGAGTTGCACTAAGAGAAGTAATAGACGTAGCAGTGTTGTGGCACAACAATTAAGCTGCCACTGCGATGTTGTCATTCCATATGAAGTACCAGTATGAGTTCCAGATGCTGTACTTCCAGTCCAGGTGAGTTACTATTGTGAAAGGCCAGTTTGAAAGAAATTCTGAGAGCTGGGAAGAGTGCTCAATCTCCATGTGGTAGACTTCAGGAAGCTATTTTGTGCTGGAAAGTCAGTTACAGAGAGAAGTTTTCTAGCCACTCCCCAGAGAGCCATATGGCCAGTGTTGGACAAGGACGAAATCTAGGAGCCAGGAGTTTCATGTCGGTCTCCCACAAGAGTGGCAGGGGATCAACCCATCTTCCGCTGCTTTCCAAGACCATTAACAGGGAGCTGGATTGGAAATTGAAATGTTGGGACTAGAACTGGCATCTATATGGGATTCAAGTATTGCAGATGGCAGCTTTACTGTTTATGTCACAAGCTGACCCTTTATTGGGAAAGCTTTAAATGGAGGAATAATAATAATAATAATAATAAAGAGGGGATAATAGAAAAATATAATGCATACTTTCTACAATCATTCCTTTTAAGGACCTTTTGTCTTAGCAATCCCCCATAATTGATTGGAGATGAGAGATAGTCTTGGCCCTATTGCAGGTAGTGCTGCTGGCTCTTCTATGCCTGCTGTCATGTGAGCAGCTTTTGTGCTTACTGATCCTCTTTTGTACTCTTTCTAAGGATATTTTTAACTGTCTTTACCCTCTAATCATCAGCTCAGATATAATTTGTGTTTTAAAATTTGAGTACAGAAACAATAAGCACTATATATGTTAGCTCTTCTAAACTCCCTCCCAAGATTAGTTAATAATCTATATTGTTACTAATTTTTGAAACCATATTGTAGGTCAAGTAAATTGTATCAATTTAGTTAATTTATGTGTTCTTTTTTTTTCTTAAAGATTTATTTTTATTATTTTTGTATTGGAAAGGCAGATATACAGAGAGGAGAGACAGAGAGGAAGATCTTCCATCCCATGATTCACTCCCCAAGTGAGCGCAACGGGCTGATACTATGCTGATCTGAAGACAGGAGCCTCTTCCGGGTCTCCCACGCGGGTGCAGGGTCCCAAAGCTTTGGGCCGTCCTTGACTGCTTTCCCGGGCCACAGGCAGGGAGCTGGAAGGGGAGCGGGGCTGCCGGGCTAGAACTGGCACCCATATGGGATCCCGGGCATGCAAGGAGAGGACCTTAACCACTTGCGCCACCGCGCCGGACCCAATTTATGTGTTCTTTAACCCTAAACTTTGAAGATGATTTTTAGCTCCAGTGAGTAATGTTTCAAAATAGATTGACCTTCTTTGCTCTGCTTTATATTTAAAACTTACATGTGCTTATTGTTAAAAATTCATGCAGGATATTGTAGGAAACTTAAAAATCAATTCCTATAATTTAAAGATTAAAATGTATACTGAAATTTTATAAGATTTGCTTTAATTGTGTCTAAACATTTTCAAACCCAAATTAAATGAACATTAGCACTTGGCACTGAGAGGTGTGATTGCCCAATGCCTGTAGTATTTTGTGTGATAGGTCAAGGGTTTTGTTCAGACTGAAGTGAGCACCGAGGATCTGTAATACCAGGGACTGTAGTTGCAGTGCTCTCCCCCTTGTCCCTCCTGACAGTGGAGTCACATAGTTACCTTTGCCTTTGAGGGTATTTTTTCCCAAAACATTTACTTGTATCTTATTACCTGTCCAGAAATTTTAGTTGACTTGGGAAATACACCAAGAAAGCAGTAAGCAAAGATATGTTGGAGAGACAAGTAGTAGGCTTCCGTTTTCAGCTCTAAAATGTGTAACAGGAAATTTGCCCTAGCTGTTATCACAACAAGGAGAAAGCTGAGGAAGAGCAAAAGCAGTGATTTTTTTTTTAAATATTTTGGAGAGTCAAGGTCATAGGACAAAGTGCCTCTTGAAATGTGGATTTGGGAATACAGTGAATAGTTGCTCTCCTGAAGCAGGGACACCAAAGCCATAAACTGTTGAAATACATAAGCAATTATTTTGATAAACAGCTAGAGATAAATTGCAGAATTGCTGGAGTGTTAGAAATCTTTGCAAGCCTAGTTGGGATAAACTTTCCCACGTTTGTGAAAACCTGTCAGGTTCTTCTGTGAGGCAACAGAAAAAGTTGCCTTGCATTTTTGCCAGGGAGGAAGACAAGTGTGCACGTACTGCAAAGACAGTGCTTTGCCAGGGCCTTCTCCAACCAGGGCGTAGAAGAGGTAGCCATCGGCAGCCTTTTCTAGCCTTCCTATCTCACACACGCAAAGAAACATTTGACACTTTTAAAGATTAAAGCGTGAAATCTCAAGTTCACTAAAACACTGAGATTTCACAGAATACTGTGCAATGCTTCCCTCCCCATGTTTTATTACTGTATCACAAGGTCTCCACAGGCTTGAACTTACAATTCTTAGTGCAACCAGAGATAGTAAGGGGAAAAAAGCCCAAATACATACACACACATATACCCCACATATAGATGCTAAAGAAAAGAGTACCCTTTGGCACCTACAGCTACGGCACACATTAAACATAGTCTGGCTGTGAACTACTTAACATAAAGCCTCATACCAGAGGTTGGCTTGCTTTATTTCTTCTTACCCAATAGATGATATCCAGCTTTAAATTGAGAAAGACAAGAAAACTGTCTAAAGAAGTAAAACAAGCATCAGCATCAGACTGGAATATTTGCTTATTACTGATTTTGAAATTATTAAGAAAAATAATTATGATTAATAGATTGTCAACTCCAATGGAAGAAGTAGGCTGCATAAACAGATGGGCAGTGTAAGTCAGGAATTGGAAACAAAGAAGCAAAAGAAAATGTGAAAAACACTGCAACAAAAATTAAAAATGTGTTTGGTTCACCAGTAGAATATATGTGAGTGAGAAAATCAGTCTAAAACATAGAGGGAAGAAATGTAGAATGCAAAAAGAGAGAGAGAGAGGGGAAAATATAAGAACTATGGGACAGTTTCAAAAGGTATAACATATACATAATTGGAATACTAAAACAAGAAGAAATAGAATGGAACTGCAATAGTGGAAATACTTAATGCCAGCCCAAAAGGCCATCTACCTTCCCAAGAAGCATAAATAAATCTTGGGCCCAGCGCAATGGCTCAAAATCTAAATCTTCACCTTGCAAGTGCCAAAATCCTGTGTGGGTACTAGTTCATGTCTTGGCTGCTCCACTTCCCTTCCAGCTCCCTGCTTGTGGCCTGGAAAAGCAGTAGGGGATGACCCCAAAACCTTGGAACCCTGCACCTACATGGGAGACCCAGAACAACCTCTTGACTCCTGGCTTTGGGTTGGCTCAGCTCCAGCTGTTACAGCCACTTGGGCAGTGAACCAGGGGATGAAAGATCTTTCTGTCTGTATCTCCTCTTAAAAAGAGAGAGATGCCACTAGTGTAGAATTTTATATACCTAATGGAATTATCTTTTGAATTTAAACAGCAATCAGAGACTTTTTCAGACAAGCTGAGGCCATAACATCCAACTTGGAAGAAATATTGAAAAATGTTCTTTAAGAAAAGGAAAATGATAGTTTGGAAGCTTGCATCTTTGTGAAGAAGGGGACAGCTTAGAGAAAGAATAAATGAAGGTTTAAAAATGTTAATTTTTCATATCCTAAATTGACCTGATAGCTGATTGTTCTAAATAGTGAAAGTAACAATATATAATCATTATTAAATATGGATCAGTAAAATGATGAAAGGGATGAGTTAGAAATATTCATTTCAATGTACTCAGAAATAATAGTTTCAGTATACTCAGACAGCAAGTGCCATGGGACAGTGTTACTTAGTTAGAGTGTATTTTGTAAATTCAAGAGCAATCTCTAAAAAAAAAAACATTTAAGTGTAATTTATGTAAGAAGAAAGAAAATGGTTGGGAATCAAGTTGGCGGAATAGGGTAAGGACAGGTTTAATAAGACAGAGAAACATTTAATCAAGATGAAGCAGAGAGGACATATTTCAGAAAATAGGAAAGGACAGAACAACAGCAGAGGGGTACCTGGAGACTGACAGACACAGGAAAGCAGTGGGCACAACAGTGTGATGTTGCAGTGAGTGATACTCCAGCACGGCGATCTAAACTCCAACAGCAGCCGGAACTCCACCAGCAACCAGGTGGAAGGGACTTTCACTGGGAGCTTGGGAGGTGAACCCAGACAAAGTACTCCGTCCTGCTGGTCCCTTTGGTTTGACCAGGAGCAGAGATAGAACAGCAAATCTCAGGCAGTGTGAGAACAGAGTGAATTTCATAGCCCTGTCAGCCCCCTAGAGCTGAATTGGGCGCCATTTTGCGTAAGGAGAAAAGGGCAAG